AGCAGGACACAGCTCCTGCCGGAGACAAGACACTGAAACAGAGACGGAGGGGGCGGAACATCCACTCTCTCTTTCCTTCAGCCTTCAGTTCTCCTGCCTTTGCCTCCCCTTGGCTGAACCCACATGGAAGTGTCCTAACGAAAAGAGCCCCAGTAATGCAGTACAGAAAGATCTCTCTCCCGGGGCCCAGAGTGGGACACTAAAGGACAGTGAATGGATCTTGGACGGGAGAATGGCCAGCGCACCTTCCCTCATCCCTAAATCCCCTTTCGGTTTCTGCCCTTTCTCTGCTTACATTATAGCAAAACATCTTGAAAGAGTTGTCCGTGCTTGGCTGGGCATGGTAGCTTGTGTCTGAAATACCAACACTTTGGGATTACAAGGAGGAAAGATCACTTTAGCCCAGGAATTAAAGACCAGCCTGGGAAACATGGCAAAACCCCATCTCTACAAAAAAAATACAAAAATCAGCCGGGCGTAGTGGCTTGTGCCTGTAGTCCCAGTGACTTTGGGGACTGAGGTGGGAGATCACTTGAGCCTGGGAAGTTGAGGCTGCAGTGAGCCGCGTTTGTGCCACTGCATTTCAGTTTAGGTGACAGAGTGAGATCCTGGCTCAAAACAAACAAAAAAGCAACAAAAAAATTCCCACTGTTTTACTTTTGCAAGACTGAATTTCCTCATAGGCACCTAAATATTCTACTGGGTCTTTTAAAGGAAATTTCCTTTCCTATTAAATTTATAGTCACATGTATGACGCGTGTATGTGAAATATGAACAGAGAATCTGGCATTCTGGATGTGGGAGTAGATGAGGTCTCATATTATTGACATGTAATTCCATAAAGCGAAGACTTGGAATGACGTCATCATCTTTCTACCCTCTCTGGTTCCAGCCTCCATGAGGCAGCATGACAAATGGCTTAAGGGCCAGGGCTGCAGAACAATAAATGGTTTAAATTTCATTTCTTCTTTTTTTTTTTTTGAGATGGAGTCTCACCCTTGTTGCCCAGGCTGGAGTACAGTGGCACGATCTCAGCTCACCACAACCTCTGCCTCCCGGGTTCAAGCAATTCTCCTGCCTCAGTCTCCCAAGTAGCATGCGCCCAGTCAATTTTTGTATTTTTAGTAGAGACGGGGTTTCTCCATGTTGGTCAGGTTGGTCTCGAACTCTCGACCTCAGGTGTTCCACCCGCCTCAGCCTCCCAAAGTGCTGGGATTACAGGCATGTGCCACTGTACCCAGCCTTAAATTTCATTTCTAACCCTTCTTTGCAATGTGACCTTAACCAAGTCACTTTATCTCTCTGAGTCTCAGATTTCTTATCTATAAATTGCCTGAGTATGGTAGTCATAGAGATTAAGTGAGCAATACACGTAAAGCCCCCAGCCTCTGAGCCCTGCATGAGTAAGCACACTGGAACAGTGCCAATCATTTCCATAGCAAGGATATTATCTTCTAGAAGCTTCCCAGTGATCACAGGCTACAGAAAGAGGTGGTGCACATGGACTGGGGCAGTAAGTTGAGGACTGGCAGCTGTTTCTGGCAGGTTGTTTGGAAGGGGATGAGGAGTGACTAGAAATGAAGGATGACGTAATGTCCTTTCTAGGATCAAAGCATTGAAGGGATTATGGCATCCATTCCCACAAGTATGAGTCAAAATAAAAATAACACTAAAAAGCACAAAACATGAAATCTGAATGCATGCTGAAAAACCAGTCTCTTTCTAGATGTTCTGATTGCACCATTCCAGATAAATTCACCGAAGCTGAATTCATGTTTTCAATGCCCTTGCTCTGTTGCCTGCCTGCAGGAAATGCAGCAGGTGTCTGAGCCCAGGGACGAGAATTCCTAGGATCTGAATGCCATGAGATACCTTCACACCTGTGATACAAGTCATGATCATGATCATGCAGTGATTGAGTCAATTTTCTGTTGTCCCATTGTTCTTCAAACTCTTCAAAGTCCTTTCACTTATATCAGCTTGCTTGAACTCCACAGTGGTAGTCAAAAGGAAATCAATGTTAGCTCAGTGGATTTTATTCATGGAATAACCAGAAACATAGCCTAGAACTGTTTGACATCAGTTGAACCATCTGAGCCGGTTATGATTCCTGCCAGGACCATAACTAATAGAGAGGTCCCTCCCTCCCTCCCTCCTTCATTCCCTCCCTCCCTCCTTCCTTCCCTCTCTCCCTCCCTCTTTACCCCAGCCTCTCTTTCCTTCCTTCCTTCCCTCCCTCCCTCTTTCCTTTCTTCCTTCTTTCCTTCCTCCCTCCCTCCCTCGCTCCCTGCCTCCCTTCCTTTTTTTCCGTCCTCCCTTCCTCCCTCTTTCCTTCCTTCCTTCTTTCTTTAAGGGAAATACTAGAACACGTTTGCGTGCAAATGAGAATAAAAGGGATAAAATGGTTATGCGGAGAAAAGCAGGGTACTCACTGAAATGGAGGCCTTCATACCTGATCAAGTCATGGGATCCAGAGTCCCCGCAGAAGATCCTTGAATCCCAAGCCAATTGACCTTGAAATTGGTCTTTGCCTGGAGACCACCACCACTTTTCACTCTTACACAGCGGTGTACCACTCAGGACTCAGAAGTCACCTCTTCCTGGAACCCCTCCCTCACCCGTAGGCTGGCCCAGCTCACTTCTTCCCATGTGCTTGTCCTCAGTGTCAGGGGAGACTCCTGCCTCAAAACTCCCTGCTTTTGGCCTCTTGCACTGGCCTGTGAGCTCTCTGCAGGAAGGGCCCCACTCACATATCACATTGGTCCAAAAAACTTGTGGTTCATTGTTGAATTGAGTGGGCCAATTTAACAGAGATCTTTCACAAGCTGGATTGAATGTTCTGGGAGGACCCATTTTATGGTAAGTAGAGGCAACACTAATCTCGTCCCAGGTAGGAGACAAAGACCCCTCTGCCGCCATCACCCACCCATGAACACAACATGTATTATGATAACCATGGTGCCTGAAATTCCTCCATTCAAGAATGGTTTCTTGTCTTCTGACAGTCTTGTCCCCTGGACAGGTGGGACTGGAGTGGTGTGGCTGAGTGGTTAAGTGCCTTGGCAGGGAGGGGTCTACTAGAGACACTGGGGCTTATGATGACTGCCCTTCCAGCAGCTCTTGTCCCCATTTCATGGAGGCTGAAATGCCGCAAACCCTCAGCTGTTCCGGGCGCCGTGGGCATCTGAGAACGCTCAGTTGCTCAGTATCCAGGGTCCTTGTGCCAAAATTTTGGTGACACTGTTCTCACTATCTTTTTCTTTAAAATTATTGGCCAGGCACAGTGGCTCATGCCTGTAATCTCAGTACTTTGGGAGGCCCAGGTGGGAGGATCACTTGAGCCCATGAGTTTGAGACCCTTGGGCAACATGGCAAAACCACATCTCTACTAAAAATACAAAAAAGTAGCCAGGCATGGTGGTGCATGCCTGTGGTCCCCACTACTCAGGAGGCTGAGGTGGGAGGATGCCTTGAGCTGGGAGGCAGAGGTTGCAGTGAGCCGAGATCACTCCACTACACTCTAACCTGGGCAACAAAAGTGAAACTCCATCTCAAAAAAGGGAAAAAAAAGTTGTATTGACAGCCAGTGTCTCAAAGCTGTAATGCCAGCACTTTGGGAGGCCAAGGTGGGGAATCACTTGGGTTCAGGAGTTCGAGACCAGCCTGAGCACCTTGGTGAAACCCCATCTCTACCAAAAACATAAAAAATTAGCCAGGCATGGTGGTGCCCGCCTGTGGTCCCAGCTACTTGGGAGGCTGAGGCAGGAGGCAGAGGTTGCAGTGAGCAGAGATGGCACCACTGCACTACAGCCTGAGTGACACAGTGAGACCCTACCTGCAAAATAAATAAATAGGAGGTTGTCTAAAATTTTTTAAGCTCTGTTGTTCAATCCTTGTCTCCTGAACATTAAATTAAGAAATAAAGTCATATTGTACTTTTTCTGTGGTTGTCAGTGAGAGGCTGGGTGTGAAGTGACTCAACAAGACATCCTAAGCTGCAGTTCCCAATGGGATAGCGACGGTGCCTCGAGGGAGGGGTTGCGGTGTTTACGTTTCTGCCAATTGGGGGAATCTGCTCTCAGCCCTGACACCAGTCAGGAAGCTTCCCTCCCTACCAAAGGGAGTAGAATCAAAGAACATCCTCATCCCAGAATGACAGTCCCAGGAGAATTCCCAAGGAGAAGGCAGAAAAGCTGAGCAGGAAACAGAGAGGGACAGGAAGCTCCAGGGCGACCTCCCCAGACAGAGGGCCCTACTCCTCTCCCGTCCCCTCCCCACCCATCTGGGCCAACCTCACCCCATCTCAGCATGAAGCTCCAACAGCCCGGACCACCCCTGCTTCCCGCGGCCTACTCTCCACACTGCAGCCAGAGCGGTCTCTCCACCCATGAGTGTCTAATGCCTCCCTCTTCAACCTTCCAGATGCTCTTCTTCCCCATCGTTGCAGACGAAACCAGGCAGGGCCTGACTGGGCCAGCTGCATGGGCCTGTGACCTGTGCAGTCACAGAGGGCCCCGGCGCTAAGGGCCTCACCCTTGGTTTAATGCTCTGCTGTAACTGCCTGACATTCCTCATGACCAAGAGTTCCACATTTCCATTTTCAGTGGGCTCTGCAAATTATGTAGCCAGTCCTGGTACCCAGCTTCACCCACTGGGGATTAATCTTTAAGTCCGGGCTCAGGAATGTAAATGTCACATTTCTGTTTAATAGCAAAATTACCAGGCCAGGCGTGGTGGCTCACGCCTGTAATCCAAGCACTTTGGAGGCCAAGGCGGGTGGATCACCTGAGGTCGGGAGTTCAAGACCAGCCTGACCAACATGGTGAAACCCTGTCTTTAAAAAAAAAAAAAAAAAATATATATATATATATATATAGCAAAATTACCAGACTTGAAACTCTCACCTCCAGAATCAGAGTCTTCAGCCGGGCCCTATCCCTGAGGGTATCTGGGCCTTGTGGGCCTCCCTTTTGAAAGCCAGGTCTATTGCACAAACCTACTGGCCTGGCAATGTGCCTCAGCCAGCCCGATGGTGCCAGGCTCTGGGCAGCAGTCTTCCCCCTGAGCAGCTGCCATCCTACACTGCCCAGGCCACCTGGCTGATGTGGGCTCCAAGTCCCTCTGTAGATGCTCTCACCTGATAGCTAAGGCCAGCAGGCAAGGCTTGACACTTCTTTAGAAGATTTAGAGAGAAGAGTCTCATTTTTAGCTAACATGCGCCAAGCAGCTCCTACGCTCAAGGCACTGCTCTAAGCACTTTTAGTGCACACTCCAGGAACCTCAGCAACATGGTATGAGGGAAGTACTATTTTTTTTTTTTTTTTTTTTTTTTTTTGAGACGGAGTTTCGCTCTTGTTACCCAGGCTGGAGTGCAATGGCGCGATCTCGGCTCACCGCAACCTCCACCTCCTGGGTTCAGGCAATTCTCCTGCCTCAGCCTCCTGAGTAGCTGGGATTACAGGCACGCACCACCATGCCCAACTAATTTTTTGTATTTTTAGTAGAGACGGGGTTTCACCATGTTGACCAGGATGGTCTCGATGTCTTGACCTCGTGATCCACCCGCCTCGGCCTCCCAAAGTGCTGGGATTACAGGCTTGAGCCACCGCGCCCGGCCCGAGGGAAGTACTATTAACAATTAATGCCTAGTTACTACAAGGAAGCTGGCGTTCAGGAAGAGTAACTGCACCTCACTGGCCACCCCTTCTCGTCTTCCTCCTAGGTTTACCTCATTGTTCAACCTCTAAGGGCAGAGGCCCTGGGCAGGCCTCGGTTCTCTCCTCCCTTCAGTCCACGCTGTCACCTCTGGTGGTCTTCTGCAACCTCACCCAGCCACCTCATCTGTCAAATGACTGAACTCCAGATTCCACCTGCTTCTCCGCATCTCCGCATGGATTTCTTGAAGTCCCGACCTCAGGTGATCCACACCCCTTGGCCTCCAAAGTGCTTGGATTACGGGCGTTAGCCACCACGCCTGGCCTAGATTTCTAACAGACAAGCTCCAACTCGGTGTATCCAGAACAGAGTTCCTGATCCCCCACCCCCAGATTCCGGCTCCTGCAGCTTCTCTCATATTAGACACTTGCTTGGCCAAAACCGCTGGAGTCATTCTTAATTCTTCTCCACACGACATCTAATTCATTAGCAAATTCTGTCAGCTAGACTTTAAAGATCTATGCACACACACAAAATTATATGCAGCCGCTCCTTGACTTATGATGGGGTTACATCCCAGTAAACCCATTGTAGGCTGAAAATATCAGGTTAAAAACACCTTTAGTCCACAACCTACAAAACATCACAGCTTCACCTGGCCTACTTGAAACGTGCTCAGAACACATACATTAGCCTGTGGTTGGGCAACATCATCGAACACAAAGCTTATATTATAGTAAAGTGGTGAATATCTCATATAATTTATAGAATATTGTCTCGAAAGTGAAAAACATAATTTTTTTTTTTTTGAGATGGAGTCTCACTCTGTCACCCAGGCTGGAGTGCAGTGTTGTGATCTTGGCTCACTATAGCCTCCGCCTCCCAGGTTCAAGTGATTCTCTTGCCTCAGCCTTCTGAGTAGCTGAGACTACAGACACGTGCCACCACCCCTGGATAATTTTTTGTATTTTTAGTAGAGACGGGGTTTCACCGTGTTAGCCAGGATTTTTTTCTTTTTCTTTGAGTTGGAGTTTCCCTCTTGTTGCCCAGGCTGGAGTGCAATGGCATGATCTCAGCTCAGTGCAGCCTCTGCCTTCTGGGTTCAAGCAATTCTCCTACCTAGCCTCCCAAGTAGCTGGGATTATAGGCATGCGCCACTACAACCAGCTTATTTTGTATATTTCGTAGAGATGGGGTTTCTCCATGCTGGTCAGGCTGGTCTCAAATGCCTGAACTCAGGGGCTCCAGGGTGTGTTGGGCTCCCAGCTGTGGTCAGCGTGACCATGCTGGGGATCCTGGCACTGGAGGTCTCTGTCACTGTCACAGAAGCTGGACAAGGCTAAAAGCCTTGCGGCCACTGCTACAGCTTTGCCACCACCAGGTGCCTTCCAGCTGCCATGCAGGCTTTCCCAGTACTCCCACCAAAGAGAATTACTATGGAGGATGCTCTTGGTCCTGAGGTGAGCAAAACAGCACACCCTGTGGATGGAGCCGGCTTCTTTCCCAGCCACCTCGTTTGCTAGATGGGCCCACGGAAGAAGTGGCCTTGAGACAGGCATGGGGACAGAAGAGGCTCAGCATCCTGCACCTGTCGTTACCAAGGCTCACCAGGCTGACATCACTGCTGACCACTTTCATGTTGTAAAATAATGCTTACTGTTGAAAAGATTTTGCTCATAAATCTTCCACCCAGCTGCCCCGAATAATGACATTTTGCATTACCATGGCACATTTGTCAAAAGTAAGAAATTTAGGCTGGGTGTGGTGGCTCATGCCTGTAATCCCAGGAATTTGGGAGGTGGAGGCGGGAGGTTCAGGTTCACCTGAGGCCAGGAGTTTGAGACCAGCCTGGGCAACATAGGTAGACTCTGTCTCTAGAGAAAAGTAAAAGAAATTAGCCAGGCATGGTGGCCTGTGCCTATAGTCCCAGCTAGTCAGGCTGCTGAGGTGGGAAGATTGCCTGAGCCCGAGTTCCAGGAAGCAGTGAGCCATGATCAATCACAGACTGCACTCCAGCCTAAGTGACAGAGGGTGACTTTATATTAAAAAAAAGAAAAAAAAAAAACAAAAGGAAGTTAATGTGGGTGCAATCCTATTAACTAAATGATTATGTGAACCATTATCTAAGGTTATTAATGTAGTAATTATACGAATATGGTGACATTTATTCAGATTTCACCCGTTTTTGCCCAGCTTCTCACACCTGCCCCAAGATCCCACCTTGGACTCACCCTCTGCCTTCAGCTCATGTCTTCTCGGCTTCCTCCAGATGGTCCAGCCAAACACACACCTGGGCTGAAGGGTACAGCGGATTGCTCCTGGGCTCCACACCTCCGCAGCATGTTACCGTACTGAGTACTGCAGACAATGGGAACATAATAGTGGCTATCTGTGTAAACACAGAAAAGGATCCTAAAAATACAGTATAAACAACAAAAATGGTACACCTGGCCAGCTGCGGACGTTCATGCCTATAAACCCAGCACTCTGGGAAGCCAAGTTGGGAGGATCACTTGAGCCCAGGAGTTCTAGATTAGTCTAGGCAACATAACAAGACCCCATCCCACCTCTCTTTTTTTTTTTTTTTTTTTTTGAGATGGTCTTGCTCTGTCATCCAGGCTGGAGTGCATTGGTGCGCGATCTTGGCTCACTGCAACCTCCACCTCCCAGATTCAAGCGATTCTTCTGCCTCAGCCTCCCGAGTAGCTGAGATTACAGGTGCATGCCACTACATGCATCTAATTTTTTGTATTTTTAGTAGAGGTGGGGTTTCACCGTGTTAGCCAGATTGGTTTCCATCTCCTGACCTCATAATCCGCCCACCTCAGTCTCCCAAAGTGCTGGGATTACAGGCATGAGCCACCACGCCCGGCCACCCCATCTCTTGTTAAATATCAGTTTTTAGAGATAGTACACCTGTATAGGGCAGCTCCATTGTAACCTTATGGTACCACCATCCTATATGTATTTTAGTGAAGATTTAGACACATCTGTGTAAGGTACATTCGCAGGGAGGATATTGCTAGCTCATGGGAGGCAAATGTCTAGCTTTGGTGAATATTGCCAAATCATTCTAAAGTGTTTGCTCCACTTTACCTGCTCATCCATGAGCCAGAGCATTCCATCAACAGCTTGGGCTGTCTCAGAAAGACCTGGGTTCAATCCCACTCAGCCACTTAGTAGCTGTGTGCCTTTGGGCAAACCATGGAACTTCTCTGAGCCTCAGTGTTCTCATCTGTAAATTGGGCTGCTGGCAGTCCTTACCTCGCAGGGCCACTGTGAGGACTAAGTGAGATGAAAGCTGACCCCTGAGTGACCCCACTTCTTTCCCTCTCAGACTCAGCAGGAAGACACCTTCACTGCCCAATGCGAAGGCCACAGGGAGGACACACGACCCCAGGGCTCCCTTGTCCCAGGAGCATAAGTCCTGGATTTTTGTTTCCAGAAACAGCCACCCCTGGGATGAGGATGGCTCTCAAGTCCCCAAAGCCTGTGTTCCCACCCCATGAAGGCGGCGTCTTCAGCAGAGGGGAAAGGGCTGCACTGTGCCCCCTCACCCTGGCCACTGTCTGCCCTCATGACTCAGAGCCCAGTAAGGTCCCTAAGCAGAGCAGTGCAGGGTCCGGCCCCAGCCCTGGGCTCCAGACATCCTGGTCACCCCACCTGCCCCTACCCTGTCGCCTCCATCCTTCAGCCTGAGCTTGCCTCCTCACAGCTCAGGACATTTTAGCTCCTTACATGTCACCATCGTTATCTCAAGGGGACTACAGCACAAGGGCGGGGAACGCAGTCAGTCTATGGATGTGTCTCTGGTGTCTGGGAGATCAGAAGCTCAATACATACTTGCCCAGTGTCTGTGCATTTCACTAAGCAGAAGACAGCTTTGGAAATGAGAAGAGACCCTCCTGAGGTGACAGTGCATAGCTGGCATTTCCCAAATATTCTCAGCATGCCAGGCACTGAGCTGGCCCATGGACATGTGAGCTCTGGAACCTGTGGGATGCCAGATTACAGGCGTGAGCTACGGCAACTGGTAGGAAGTATTGTTTATTTCTTTATTAGAATTTGTACTTTCTGAGTTTATGTAATTGGCAGGCACTGCTTTTGTGATTAGAAACAGGAAAGGTATAGAAAAACGTGTAGAAAAAAGCAGAAAACCAAATCACATCTACAATAAAATCCTCACTTTTAAATAAAATGTACAGAGAAGAAAGATGGAAAAGAAATGCCGTAGGCTGGCATGTTGGCTCATGCCTGTCATCCCAGCAATTTTGGAGGCCAAGGCAGGAGGATCGCTTGAGGTCAGGAATTTGAGACCAGCCTGGCCAACACGGCGACACCCTGTCTCTACTTAAAAAAAAATTAGCAGGGTGTGTTGGCAAGCACCTGTAATCCCAGCTACTCAGGGGGCTGAAGCAGGA